TTCTTAGGGATTCTTTTTGTCTCTCTATCTTTTTTATTTCTAAGCAATTTAACTAGAAAGTTAAAGAATTATCCTGTACATTTTATTTTAAAACTATTAATTACATTTTATTTCATAATGTCAAGAACTATCCGTTATATTTTAGTTTAGAACTATCTGAGAATGACAAGAGCTATAATTTACAGTTTATTTTGAAATGGCCAATGAGATTTCCAGATCTCATTTTGTAATTTGAATGGCCAATGAAAACTCTTCATATAATCAGTTCTTCCCTGTAAATTTTGCATGAAGTCAAACTGAAAACAGACCGGCATTCGGCCGGACAAAAAGAGAGGATATAGCACATTATCTCACGCCTAATATATTGCAAAATATGAAGTCCAGCGTTTGTATTATGCAACCATCTCTGTGAAAAAAATATGATCAATTCATATCAATTTAACTTCTGTTTAATTTTGCCAGTCCAAAAAGACAACATGAAAACAGTGTAATAATTGTATTCCTCCTACTTTGGTAAACAGTAGTATATCATATCTTATTGTATATACTTGAAGTAAAATCAAAATAATCAAAATGTCAAAACTTTGGTGATGTTAAATAACTTTTACATATTATTTGTACACGGCTGCAAAGCCTTTAATACTATCGGCGAGTGTTTTTTCTATAAGTTTGACAGCTTTGTACCCATCCAATAGAATTAAATAGGGTACTCAAAAAACTATAATATGCAATATTATTTAATGCCTTATAAGATGTAACCAATGAAATATTGCAGCATTTGCACTATATGACGACCAAATTGAAATCACTTTTGGGTCTTAGGTTTTATCAGCCTAGCGCATGAGTTAAAACATCCAAATAATTAATAATGTTCTCCACCTCGTCTCGTTTTAAAGTCAAAATGTATAAAAAGAGATGATTCTGAATAGAAATGCTGATAATATTTGACTCGTATACAGCTGCAAAACAAATTTTGACGAGTCACTTATTTAGGATGGCAGCTGTGTACATGTCACACACACGCACGCACTCACACTACACACATATACCGGTATCTGTAATGATAAACAACAACGATATTTCGCTTTTACGTAAAAATGACTCGTGTGTCATTTTGCTACCAGATAATGGCAAAGATTTATAATAGTGTAGAGAATCCCTCTTTCCTGGAAACATTATAATAGCCGATATAGAAATACATGACTTGTTATGCAATTTTCTGTGTACACTTTAATGTTTTAGTTTTTTCTATCTTCTAAAAAATGAAGTTTGCGCTTAATATATACATGATTGTTTTAATTGTTACATTAATAGCAATAATTGTATAAATGCATACATCCTGATTTAGATAACAAATGATAATTCAACAAAAAAAGTCGGCGTTTTGTGGTGTTTAGATTGACTCAGCATAAATCCATATTATTTTTTATCAAAATGTTTTTAGGGCAATTCAATTTTTCGCTTTGTTTATTTCTTTCTTGTACTAAAAAGGTATGAAACACACACACACGCGCGCACACCTGCATTTCGATGAAATGATAGTTTTTCAGGTGTAACAATAAGATGAAATTATTACAGCAATCATTCCAGAAAGTTCTGAAAATAAAACAATTATTCAGATGTTTTTCAGATTTATTCATTTTTTTTCTGTTCTGTGCATTATTTTCATAATAATTACTGCCACAAACAATACTTTACAATTAAGCAGCTTTCTTTCATTTTCACTTAAAGTATAGTGTACTATAAGTCCACGTCAATGGATTAGAACATAAAAGAAACTGTCCTACTAAATAACAGCATTTGCACTTTTCAATATATAAGATATACATGTCATGGTTAGGTTTTTTGTCATTGTCGACATCTCATTTATCAGGCCAAATCTCAAAGGAGAAAATGACCTACATACAAAATTAGTTAGCGTTAGTTTTGTCTTAGTGTCCATCACAATATTTACAATAGGACCTTTTTATTTATTTATTTATTTAGTTCATTATCATACACAGTGTATTCAAATGGTTGAAACTTTGTAAGTACATGTAAATATAGAACAACATAAAAATATATTTCTAGCAACACTTATTAAATTGAACTGATTTATAAAAAAGAAGAAATAATGTTTCTGTTACAAAATTCCGTTGTTTATTTCATAGGTTTGAAATAAAATGATATAATCATGAACAATTTTATTATTTTTATATGTAGGCTATATTTTTTATTTGCTATGTGATCGTTTTGTTTGACAGTCATATTTTGTGTGGACATTAGTCATTGTTAATTAATGTAAATTATGAAATCAGCTTATGATGATACCAATATTATTACCAGCATTTCAACATTTTATGCTTAAAGTTTCCTTGTAGAATTATAGGACGGGAAAACACCTTAAAAGTAAATGAATTGCTTTGTATAAAAAATCAAAATTAAATGCTTTTCAGTATTGGCTTTTTGGATTTAACTTGTCCTGTCAATCACGTGTTTATGGATTCTCTACGGATAATTTTTGTTCACTAGAAAAATGCTATTGTTTCAGGTTATTGTCAAACAGCCAGTGGTTTATAGAAATTGAACATGGCCTAGAGCATTTTTATCTATCGAACAATTTCCATTCTCTTAAAATTCTAAAATGATTTTACTTACAAGTCAACATTGTTTTATCGGTATTACTGAAACAACGGAAACAATTCAAAATAACGTTAAGTGTAACTATGTAGAATGCTATTTCATATTAATATGAATTTAAATATATATGTTATTTTCATTTTGATGATTAGGTATTATTTAATATAGAACTTAAATCAAGAAATCTTTTACTACTTCTATTATTCGGTAGTAAAAGTTCCCTATTTGTCCAAAGCTACTCGCTTTTCCCCCATAAGAATATTTCAAACAATAATTAAAGTAATAAAAAGAAGTGTATTTGTTTATTTATATGTTTTGATATTGACAACAACAATTCTTTTTAATCACGTACACATACAAAAATGTGTAAGTACTAGTATTTTTGTGTCTAATGTTGTAAGCGTTTTATTTTTCTTAATCACAAACATTCACTTAGCTTATACATAAGGAAAATGCAAAGTTAATCATATCTCAGTTTCTCAGTTTCTAGGATAATACAAGATTTAATTAAATGTCAGACAAATACAGCTGCGGAAATAATCTAAAAAGATTCGCTACGTGCTCTTGTTATTTTCTTAGTTTGACAGATTCCTTGTTAATTGATACAAACATTGTGTAAAACAAATTATGTCCGCTATCCTCATCCTAAATAATAGATATAAAGTGGTGTAATTTTGTCGCTGTAAGTACGAACTATTAAATTATTTTTCTAATATGAATAAGCTTTTCATTACGAAATATTACATTGACGTATGTATGCTGTGTTTACGTGGATGGAAGTAAGATTAATTACTATCAAATACAAATTACATTACGGGGCAGCATGTGGCAAAAATAGAACATACTTGTAGTATTAAGGACACAGCTTAAACGATTCTGAAAAACGAAAGTCCCTTGAGGGCATTAACAAATATTCAAAAAGCAAAATTACGCGTGAAAAAAAACAATATAAAGACCGACTATGCCTCTTTCCCTCCGACATGCTTTTATTTTTCTATAAAATATGAAAAACAAGATCAACAAGGAAAGGCGGCGTTCAATGAACGCAACCCCCATAAAAACCTTTTGTTTTAATTTTTGTATTTTGTTACAGTTTCAAAATAATAGTTATTTAATATACTTTTCTCAGTTGGCAATTGGTATAACTATAGACCTTTTTACGAAAAAAGCCATGCCCTACATAGAAAGGAAGTAGACATTCATAAACAATTCCTAGTTTGTTTAAGGTAAAAAATAGAAAATCATATAAAATAGCTTTTAACAGAAACACGAAAGATGCCTTCATACTTTTTGGCCAAGATTGCACAAAAAGGCATGGGAAAGACGATTGTTTAAGGATTCCCCCTTACGATCACTGACCTGACATTGAGATAATTTTTGTAAAATATGTTGAAATATATATATTAGCAAATAAAGAAGTCAATTTAATTGTTGTTCAAAACGTCCATATTAAAAAAAAATTATTACATATGATATATAACATTTTTATATATTTTATAAACATTTAAAATCGAGGTTAAATATCATTCTGAAAAATAGTCGGAACACGTGATATAATGCATTTTTAGTTTTCAGTTAAGCTAATTTTATCCTTTATCCAATTTGACTGAAATGCCAAACAGAACATTTTAAAGTCACATAGTATATATTTAAATAAGTTTTCAAACTCTTGTGAAGTTAAAATGGTTGTGGAATAACACACATTTTGTCCGGTTCCTTGTTACACATGGAAATGCACGTCACGTTCACTATTTGTCACTTCACAAAGTCAATAAACACTGATCAGATTGGTATAAATAAAAATTACTTAAATTACGATTAATCAGTTTCAAAGTTTTCAGTAATTAACTATGTCATGGTACTAAAACGACCCGGTTGAATGATATTGTTAAGTAGCTGGAAAATAACAACCAGTCACGTGTCAATCTGTTTGACACTTACCGCCTTGCCAATCCACTTTCAAAGGAATACCAATTGTGTAATAGTATGTAATACATGATCGTTAACACCCTGCTGTTTTAATTTTAATTACTGATAAAAAAGTCACCAAATGATACATTGAACAGAGAACTTTTGGTCGTTGAATTATAAGTCCCGCTTATTTTGTATATCTGTTATAAATAACAATTCCCGGCTATATGACTGAAATACTGTTGGGAAAAGGCGTAAAATCAAACAAACAAACAAAATAAATCAATTCACGTTTAAAGTACTTACCGCTTTAATTCATCCCAAAATTCTTTTTTCTAAGTGACATAACTTGAAATCACGCCTTTTAAAGACTTTAAGTGCGCTAAATGTATGCTATCGTTATTGCGCTTTTGCCCTACACAGAATGCGCATGCGCGAAATGCAGACTCGTAACGATTGGTTTCCTGCATAATAGACTGTTAACTACGCGTGCAAAAATCGATACGGTAACCAAATTATTACTTCTGCTATGGCTTCGGAAAAGAACGCTGGCTCTGAACCAAACAAAAATAAACGTTTTCCAACCCTTTCTGACGGCGATAAAAGAAAGATAATTAGTGACAGGGAAGCAGTAAATACGAAAAGATCCACGGATGCTTCTATGAGGATTTTCAAGTCGTATCTAGAGGAAAAAGGCTACGATGAACAGTTTGTTTGGACAGATTTGTCAGCCTACGATTTGGATGAACTTTTGGAACGTTTCTTTTTTGAAGTTCGCACAGCCAGAGGGGATTTGTACAAAAAGAACAGTTATATATCGATTAGACATGGAATTAACCGATTTTTAGAGAACAGCGGTAAACATTCCGACATTGTCAATGACGTTCAATTCAAGAAATCACAATTGGCGTTCAAATCCATGCTTGCCAAGCTGAAAGATGAAGGCAAAGGTGGTACGGATCATCATCCACCGTTGGAGACAGCTGACCTTCGCAAACTGTCCTTGTATCTCACGGAAGACTTGGAAAATCCAGAAAGATTACAGGTAATTATAACAGTGCATGTATAATTTTATGATATTATCATCTCAACTCTGCATTCATGTATTTTAACCATATTATACTAACCTTTTACTAACTGTGTAGGTCATATATGAATATGAAAAGCAAAAGAATAAAACAAAAAAAAGAATAAAAAAAACCTTCTTGCTTAGGGTGCGAACCCCTCATCGTACAAAAAAAACGTTACTAAAATCAATATTTACGTCCATAGCGTTACCGATTGAGCTAGGCGGACTTATAATTTATGTGATCTTCTATAATTATATGAATACAGTAGAGTCTAATATACTGAACTATAAGAATCGCAAAAAGAAAAAAAAATGAAAAGTGCATAAGTGAGAAATGTTCTAGACTACCATTATACAGAATTTGATAGAGTAATGATCCATTTTTTTGTTGTTATTGATACGTACAATCTGTCAGTCTGTCTCTTTCATTGGCTAATTTAAAGTTTGTTCATTTATTACTTGCATATTTCTTAATTTTTCAAGGTAAAGGTGTTTGCTGATGTCATGTTATATTTTGGACGAAGGGGTAGGGAAAACATGCGAGACCTGAAATGTTCTGACTTCTGGCTGACAACAGATTCGGAAGGTAGCCGCTATATCTACATCAAAACTGATGAAAAAACTAAGAATCATCAAGATGATACAAATACTGCGAAAGGTCATATGCATGAAATTAAAGGTATGTTTTTATATGTTGTATAATTACTGCATCAAAAAGTTTTTGTCATATCAAATTTTAAATATGGTAAATTACACATTACAAAGATAATAAATGTTATTATATCGACAATGGATATACAATTTTTATTTTATAAACACTCCATACACAATGCAAATTACAAAGGATTTCATCTTTTATCTGTCCTCATGATTATCTTTTACATGAACCTTAATTTTGCTATTGTATGAATAATTTGTAAAATACTGGTTTAATATTTCAGACAGCATCCTGTGTCCAGTACGGTCATTTGTTAAGTAAAAGCGTCAGCTGAATTCAGAGTGCCCATATCTGTTCCAGAGAGTGAACACAAGTGGGAATAGTATACAGAAGTTCAACAATGCGCCAATAGGACATAACAAACTTGGTAATTATCTTTCTATATAATATTTTTGAGAAAACTATGAAATAGATATTTTCACAAAACAAGATGACATTTATAGTAGTTTTCATAACTGAATTAATAAAAAATATATCAACACAAAGTTCAATATTTTCTTAGTTAATTAAAATTAAATTAAGTTTTTTTATTTATAAATTTTATATTTAGCAAAATCATAATAATTATCATAATCATAAGTATTAAGCAAAATAAATTAGCATATTTTAACATTTACATTGTATCTTTCAGGAACTATGATGCAGACTTTGAGTAAGAAGGCGGATTTATCGGTGACATATACTAACCACAGTCTAAGAGCCACTTCAGTGCACTTGCTTGATGAGGCACAGGTGCCATCTCGGCATATAATGAGTGTGACTGGCCATAAGGCTGAAACAAGCTTGAAGACATATTCAGGATACACTGATAACAGCACAAAAAAACGAATGTCAAACACAATTAGTGATGCATGTGAAGGTCCACCCATTAAGAAAAAATCAATAGCTGCCAAAGAAATCCTTTCTTAGGGAACAGAAAATGTCTCTCCGATGAATAACGTGAATCAGGATGATTTATCTGACACAACGTCAAATGATGATGATTTTGGTGACTTTCTCAGGAGTTTAGACTGTAACAATAACTATTCTTCACCTGTGCAACCACTGCAACAATCAGTTCCAACGGTTATTAACCCGGGATTTATGCATACCAGACAATCGCCTATCCAGCAACCGCTGCAGCAAATTATTAATACACCAATGACACATAATTCAAGTGTTTCTCACCCACAGTATTTAGGGTTTCAGCCAATGATGCCTACAATTGCTGGCCAAAATGCAACTATTAACATCAATTTTAATATATGTCAAAAGTGACATTATGCAGCTACTGTTTTGTTTAATAATAGTTAAATTGCAAAAATAGCACAATTCGATTTTGAATATTTAGTTAGAGTACTGTTGTGTCAGTAATCACTGTGATATTGGACTATCGTGATACATGTTGTTTTTTTTTGTTGTTGTTTATTTGCTTTTCTTTTTGTAATTTGTATCATGTTGTTTATCAAATATTAAATTTACAGTTTAAAAGGTGATTTGTGTTTTGAATTATATAAGACATATATTAAAACAATTATTGACAAGTCAGCATTTGAATATGACACTATTCATTCGCCTCGGTCAATATGACATTCTGCCGGTGAATATCACATCATATTCAATGGCTCACTAGTCAATAATTGTATATTATTTTACACACGTTTGTCATTTCTAAAAAATAAATATCTTCATTTTTTCATAACATTATTCATTTTCAGACAATGTTAATCAGCAAGACACATAAGTATGTTTCATGCTCTTGAAATGAAGATAAATGAGGAAAATATCATTCACAATGTAATCTTTTATTGCTGTTGTAATCCCTTGGGTACACTTACCTACACTAAGGATAACAACTAATCTCTTTTTGCCATCGTCTAGAACGTAATGATATAAAATAACTCGCCGTTGAGTATTTTTATCGTATTATATGATACTGACGTCTATACTCAAAACTTCCTGTTATGTCACAAGTCGAGATGTATTCTTATTACTTTGATTTACTTTGTTATTTTTTAATTTGAAATTGCGTTCATTTAATTGTAAAATAAAATTAAATGCTTAAATAATTAACAGACTCATAAATAAATAATACATGTGTATATACTGCCTTAACCCATTACTTGATGAGCATTTTGTGCTATCAAACTATAAAAACTGCTTCAATACTAATCAAACTTTGCACAGATGTTGACTGGACCAATGCCTTTGCAACAACATGCTAAGGCTTATATTTCTTGTTACCATGGCAACGAGGGGACATCTCAAAATTGTCAAAAAATCACTATTTGCGTTGATTTTTTCCCATCAAAATTGATTTTAAAGTGTTGCAACTTCTCAATGGATTGAGATAGAGTCAAATGAGTTTCAGTTTCCTTTTTTT